AATAAAAATAATGCAACTTTGTATTCATAAGATCTGGTGTAAAATGTACTGAAAAATGGACAGTGTCTGGCCAGCTCCACAGTCCCACTCAGTCCCATTCAGTGCACAGTGGCTGCGGTCCATATTACCTCAGGTGAAAGTCATTGAGTCCCATTGAAGAAGCTTGTGTGGATCTCAGCCTGTGCTTGGAGCTGTGGAGCAGGTCCAGCTGTGTGTGAGTTAACACACCTGCCTCACTGTGAAGTCTAGAGCAGTCCAGCACCAGACTGAACAGACCAACCGTCCCCACAGCTCTGAATGGTTTTGTTACATAAATCATTTTTGAATTGATGAACGGACTATTTTAAGGCTCTTTAACATGCACGCTGATATTTCAACTATATTTTGTCTGTTAACTGGTCCGTGCAAGCACCTAATCACAGAGGTGCTTAGAGTTCATCCTGCTAAATTGCACAGTTAACATCGACATTGACATTTAGCATACAGTGAAATAAATGACTAATTTACCAGTCTGACTAATGACCGATGTGTTTAGCATGCAAGCTAATGAGCAAGGTAAGTATTTAGCATGCAAACTAATGAGTGAGTTGCAGACTGATTAGTATTGCTCCACAGAGAGACAGCAGTGTTCACTGTTTACCCATCTCATTCTCAGCTCTCTTCTCACATAGACAGGCACACAGCCGTGGCTGTGGACAGCATGTGTTTTCACACAAGCGAATACATTGTGCCAAACTCTTTGGTTTCATGACTGATGATCTAAGTGTTCGTTTAGGTGACTGCGAAAAAAAAGGATGATGAACCAATGACGAATACTCTATTCTTTTGGTCTGAATGTTTTTATTTAGTGTTGAAAATGACAACAGCATTGATGCTGTAGCTGAGCCTATCTTCCTGAACCACGCCATCTTTTTAGCAGCTTTTTGTACTTGTACTTGGAGAAGATATTGTAATGAATCAGTCTAATACATACACCAGAAGCAGATGGCTTCAGGAGCAAATTGTGTCAACAACAGAAAAATGGCTTATAAATCAGATGCAAATTTTGAGTAAGGTGTTTGTATGGCAGAGTTTGGGATCAACTGTCCTGCTCCACTGCACTGGCACAAGGGTTAGAAGAGTGCGGAAAGCCTCTGATTTGAATTCATTAGCTGAGTTTCAAACTAATACAAGCTCAGTTTACATGAGCTGAACCAAATAGAAAAAAAAAAGCTAAATCAATGTCCATTGCCATAATGACAACATTGTTGGTAACCAGGCTTTTGGCTAATGGGTTTGTTTGGCATAACAGTCCATATCTATTTCAACTAATAAAGATGCAAAATGGACTATTTATGCCAAAAAGAGGCATTATGAGTCATTTGGTCCTGTTTGTGTGTCAACTTCACTCATGTTAAAGCCCTGAGTTACGATTCTTCCCACCTCGTGACCACAGTCATTTTATTGATTAGCCGTGAGCAAAGGCACTTAAGTGGTCAGATTTCGGTCTTTATCGGCTCATTCTGTATCCTGCTGACGGTACACTACCCAGCCTCACACCATTGTGTGTATGTGGCTACAAATAGTCCTGTATACACCACTGCTTTGTTTCAGATAGAAGGTGTGGGGCTGAAGACATTTGGTAATATGTGTTTTCTCTGCCAATTCTGCATGTGTGATCTTATTGAGGTGGAAATTAAACATTTAATCTAGTAATGCTTCTTGCAAGTATTTTGCATTTAGAATTACTCCAGTGTATAGTAATAGTATAGCAATATAACTCAATAGCAGAAGTAAAAACTGCATTTTATTCAAAATTGACATTAGTTTTTAGTTAGTTTTTTTTACATTAATTTATTTTAACTTAAATGCTTCTATAGTGTATAGGTCTATAAACTCTCAAATACATGCGTGTACAAAACTGGTATGAACAAACAATGGTGATAGATAATCCTGGTCCAGCATAGACTAAAGCATCAAAGACTGTGAGTATGTGGGTGTGCTGCAGGCCTGATCCATTGTCATTGATAATTAAATAAAACAGTGAAAGAAGGATGCAAAGAGGCACTTTCTGGGGCCTCACAAGCATCATTACACACATGTATGCACACAAAAGATGGCCCACACAGCACATGCACTGCACACATTTAAACAAGGCTTGTTATAATATGCAGTGCAGTTCTCATGACTAGACTTACATTTACTTAAAGAGCTGCCATGACACTTCTGTGTAGTTTAGTCTATCAGAGTCCACACAGTCTCTTGCTCTCTTGTAATTACACAGATGTGAGCCCCAAAGAAGATTTGAATCAAAATCATGTAATGCAATCAGTACAAGTTAGATGACACTTAACAATTGTGCCACAGTTGTTTTGATTGAAAACATGTGCTGTCTGTGCAGACAGTCATCAGACATGATTATTATTACTGGCATATGTCAGGGATGTGTCATGCAGTGTGCTGTGAAACCAACTCTGTGAAATATTACACCATAATAAAAGTCTATATTGTGAAATGAAGACTAAACACTTACATCTGTGGTTATAACAAAGGATTGTTGTATCGCTGTAAACATAAGGTGTGGAGAAGACAGTAAACAGCAAACAATTTGGATGTAGATCGCAGGAGATAATTGCAATATCAGCTATGGTAGACCTGGGGGCCATTGTAGGGACAAGTACATAATGTATTCAGAGTCACAGACACTGTAATAATATGTTGTGGATCAGCCTCTCCATTCAGATCCAGACACACAAGTACTATCTGATCACAGCTCATTCTTCACACTTATACACAAAGACTCCTTCTAGAAGCTGGCTATCCCATGTACTTACAAAGTGCAACCACTAGCAAAATGAATGGGTTGACAAGGAAGACACAAAAATGAGATTTTTCATATATTTTCACTGAGCAGTGTGAAGCACATGTATAGCTTCAGGTAAATTCCCATGACTACCCTCCTTGCACAGCTTACCTCCATTTACATACTCTGCTGTCACACTCATATGGTTTTATGGAAGCTCATAATCTAAGAACATGAGAGTAATAATTAACCTTGTGGTGATACGGCAAACTGTGAAATGATTTAGTACAGAGCTGCTGCAGTCCTGGGGGCTGCATTTAAAATGGCTTCCAATCACAAATCTATTACCTTTCATCCAATAGAATGGGACCACATCAAGGGAGCATAGGTAACCTTGATTACCAATAAAAGATTATTGGTCATCTTTAACTCCTCATCTATTTATGAATGAGGGATTGATGATAGGACCATGGGCACAGATTTCCACACTTCTGTCCATCAATCATTAACATAATGTTTTGTATTACAATAAATTATCTACGCAACCAATAAAGCCCCTGTATACTGGTGGCTTCATGTCTTGTCTTTGCTCTCTGGATAGAGAGCACACCATGATAAATACTACAGTGTAAGTGGGTTGGTGCTGGCCAGAACGCAGTGCTCTCCACTCGAGTCAGTGAGCAGTGGGAGGTCCCGTCACTGCTGAGTGCACACAAATGCTCCGAAGTGGCCTATGATTACACTAAATTTTCGGCCATTCTCCATCCTCAGTATTGGCATAATGCGTGGTGCAAAGATGAGAGACAAACAGAAGTCGCCGATAGGCCGTACTTGGCTCGGCACGCTCTGTTCCAGTCGATGCCAATAAAAGTGTCACGTCGGTGAATGGAAGCAGGAATAAACCACTTTTTAGCGTGTTTACCTGAGAGATAAAAGAGTTGGCTGTTGTGAGCTATAATCCTGTGTCCATTTGTGCTAAAAGTACAAAGAAAACAACCTCTTTGATCAAGTGCTTTTAGGTGGAAGTTAAGCCAAGGCGTCAGTGTTACAGAGGTATTTCTAGAGTCACTTTGAGACTTACAAATACGTGCAGAAAGTTTAGAGAACCCATTTTAAAGTACTGTCAAAAGTATGTGTGGTTGAGTGGATATTAAAGATATAACAGTCACGTCTTCCCAAGTTAATAAAACAACACCCCAGTACCTCCCCAGCATTTCTGATTATAATATTCAACAGAGCCAACTTCCCTAAGAAGCTGACTGACAAAGCAATTAATGTGTGTATGAGGAAGTGCTTCATTTAGCCTCTCACAGCTGCCCTCTGGTCTTCTCATAGAAACATGGCTCCCAATATGTGCCATTGGTCCTCCATCCACCACTATTCACTATTCACAACCACTTACAGGCATAGTGTCTTGCCCAAACATACAAGAACAGGTTGCTGCTAGGATAACACTGTTGACACTTCATCATAACAATTCACGTTTTTGAGATATTGCACTCAGCTTGGTCATTATGAATATGGAGATAGGTAGGGATGCACTGCTATGATACTAGGATCAAATATCTGTGCCGATATTGAAAATTTTGGCGGGTTGGACCTTGATTCCAAGATATTGGTTCAGTCGATATCCCATTTTGGTTTATAAATTATCATATGTTAACCCAGAATATTTTTGAAAGTTGTTCTGCTGTTACTTTAAATCATAAACAGTTATGAAATTCATTCATCATTTTTTTAACCACACTCATACTTGGTATCAGCAGATACTTAAAGTATCAATAACGGTATCACAACAGAAAAATCTGTATCTGTGCATCCCAAGAGACAAGTCATACTTTATTAAGCAAATGTTTTATTTTACTGACTGTTTTATAAGCCCCTCCATGTTAAATGATTCATTAAAATTAACACATTTCACAATAAAAGCCAAACAATTTTTTGTGCCATTCTCAGACAATGTAACTGGTCATTATCAGCCATTGTTATGTCCATTTTAATCAGACTGCCCTGGTATGCTAGTTGCTCTGAGCATTTATTGCTCCATTACACTGTGAAGAGCACAGTGTTACTTCTCATAAACAAAGTACATTCTTGTGCATCTGAAATATTCCCTGGCTCACGGCTTCAGAGTCGACTTTGAAGGCTCGTTCCCTGTAATAGCAGATGGCTGAGAGTGAATGTTGGCATTGACTTGCACTGTTCTCTTTTGCCACAGGAGAGGAGTTTTACGAGACATCTCCCTATGAGCCCTTCCACTTCTCAGAGGAGTTCCAGCTCGCCTCCATCATCTCAGGTACACATCAGATACTTAAATGTGCAGTGCATGTAATATGCGCTAAGGCAGTTTTGGGAAATGTACAGATACCCCTCTTATTCAGTTTTTTTCTTCTTTTTTTTCTTCTTTATTTCTCAATGTAGCCACCCTTTGCTTTATTGACTGTACTACAAACCCTTGGCCTTCTCAGAATGAGTTCCTTGATGAAGTCTCCTGAAATGGTTTTCACTTCACAGCTCTGCCATGTCAGGGTCAAGGAATGTCAATAGTGCAAACCTAGATCCAATGTAAAGGGTGGCTATTTTGTATTTTTTCTGACCTAAAACTAATTTATTCATGTTTATTACATTCCATGTGTTTATTCATAGTTTTTCTGTCTTCAGTGAGAATCTACAGTGTAAATAAGCTAACCAATGCCATCAGATTCACACAGTAGTTATAATTAGATCAAATTTATTATGATAAAAAATTATGACAAATCTCTGTACGCAGACACTAGGAGTGAGGTGTTTTGCCCAAGGACACAACAACAGCATTTCTCTGTGGGAGTTGGAATCACATCACTTCCTTTAAATTTGAAACTATCACTAGACCCCTGTACAATTATGATACATATTTACAACAGGTACTTTCCCAACAAACAAAGTAGTAATTATTAAAACATGAAAACCTGCCTTATGCACCTGAGCTTGAATGGTTCTTTGTGTAAATACCTACAAGGTATTTTTAAGTGTAAAATCTTCACACAGTCTGGTAAATTAGACATAGGACTTGATGTGAGGTATGAGTGCTAACAAACAGGGGAAGAGAAGGTACATGACTCACCTTATATTGGCTCATGTGCATGACAGAAAGTAAAATGGCATTACAAAGACAGCAATTTCAGACTCAAAATACATCTTACAGTTGTTAAAGCATCTCTACATCAGTTCCTTATGCTGATATTTGTAAATAGAATGTATACATGGTCTGCATTACATGGCTAGCTCCTGGGCTTCCTCGTCTGTTGAAATGCCATATGCTCAGAGCAGTACATTGTGATTTAAACTGAGTGCATCAGTATGAGACGCAGAGGTGTGAAGGAAATAGCCGCGCAAATTGGTTCCTGCTCTTTCAGATTAACACAACACAAGTACAAACGTGGTCAAGGTGGGTAAGCTGTGACCGATGCTACTTCAAACAGACTTCCTCTTCCTGCCTATCTCTGTGTTTCATACAAGCAGCCCACAAAAGCAGCAGACACCCTGATGGAGCAGAAGTCCTTGTTTATTCCATATAGCTAACCTGATACAAGTGGTTTGTGGCATTTGTTGTTGCTTGTGGTGAAGATCAAGTGGATACATTACTGGAATAGTTTTACATAACACACTTTTTACATACAAATGATTCAGGCATGGGCATTTTTATCCATGAGTTTCAAAATTCAGAAAAATTGGTGCTGTTGCCATAGTAATTAATAATTCAAAACATGTATCTTTTTTTTTTTATCTTTTGTTTGGTCAAAAGGCCTCAAAAAGAGCATGTAGGCTTAAGTGATCTTAGCTGATAGCAACAGTAACTGCCAATGCCAAGATGATTTTATGGGTAACAGTTGAGGTTGTAAATGAACAGTGATAGTGATATAGATCTGTATCGCTCTCTCTCTCTCTTTATATATATATGTAAAATAGGTTATGATTAAGGTTATGATTCGTCTCCAGAAAATAAATGCTAGTCAATGTAATATCCCCAGAAAGTATGGAAACCTGTAATGTGCGTGTGTTGTGTGTGTATGTGTGAGTGTGCTTGAAGAAAGCGATAAGGGGATAATATAAACTGCTAAATGGCAGTGGCACAAAAAAGAGCTGTGGAACATTCAAGTATGTTGGAGACAGCAATGGCTCAAATTGATTGGGAGAGAGGCGACGCGTGACCGAGTATTTGAATCCAGTGTGTGTAAAAGAGACTCAGCACACATCGAAAAAACAAGTGTGGGCTGACTTAACAAACGTACCCTGGGAAACTGCTACATGTTAACACCCATTAAAACACCTTCACTATTTACCTCCTTGGCAGCATGATGAGCCTACTTTTTGTTAATGTTAATAATAACTTATGCAAAATATACAGGTGGTGAAAATGATTTCAATACACGGAAGACACTTCTGACAGCATTATAAGAACACTGAATAAAATTTTCTTTATATATTTACAACAAGTTGCATTATCTTTAAAGGTAATTATTTTTCATTAGGGTTTATCACAGCAACTGGTGATGTGGCTGCCCACATTTATCCTGTAAGACTTATCCTTGGTTTTCAGAATGATGAAAAATTAGGACCATTGCCATAGCAGTTCATTTCAGTGGTGAAAAGTCCTCAAAATGTTGCCTATAGAAACCCATGAATGGACATTACCACTGTAGCTTCAGTGTTGGAAATAAATCATGTGGATTGTTTCACCATTCTATAATTTAAGATAAAACTAACCTGCAATTATTCTTAACAAATCACCTGGACCACTAAAAGTCTCTCTTTTACCACAGTATGATTTTTTTAAAAGCATTTGGATATAGGCAACTATTTGGTTTCAAAAGTAAAAGCTTATCCATTCTTTCCATTAGTGTCTCCACATAGACTAAAAAAGAAGTGAAATCATGTTGTTTGTTTTGCCCATGTTGTTGGCTGGCCATCACAGTGTTATTGTGCGCGCTCACTTAGCTCTGACAGATCACTTTAGCTCATGATGAGGCTCATCACTCCAGACAAATGCCTCTCCTCTCCATTCCTCATCTGCTGATGTTTATCTGTGCAAGGCTTCATCACATCTGCATTCATTAGACCACTGTGGGTGTCAGCTGCAGCCATGGCCCTCAATATCCACTGTCCAAGCAGCCACTCAGAGCCTGTCTGTAGCTGTTCCAAGCACCATCCATCTACATACACCGGGCCATTCTGCAATTGTTTTTATTCCTGCGCAGATAAGATAAAATAAGTATTTGTAAGATCACAGTCACTGGAAGACAAGGGCACTGAGGAGGAGAATATTTAAGAGAATTGAAGAAAGACACAGAGAAATATGAGACGCAGCAGGCAGGAAGAGTGTGTATGCAGGTGTGTATGCGTTTGTGTGTGCGTGTGCATCTGTGAGTGTGCGTGTGTGTGTGTGTGTGTGAGTGTGTGACAGCAGATAAGCTAACCACATGAGAACACACACGACTCACAACCTCTTTTTTGTATCTTTGTGATAGTATGGTCACTTCTACTACTTTTACCACAGAGGAACATGATATTAGATACATAATATATTCTGCAGTACAAAGTCTACCAGAAAGTATTTTTCCCATATTTTAATGTACATGGTGCCTGCTCCTTGACGAATGACAGGTGAAGGTGAAATGGAGAGCGTTGATTATTGTGTTACCATAGCACCCCGCTGTGATTGGCATATGGCATTTTTATTTTTATATTTTTTACCACCATGAACTGTTTGTGAAGTTTTGGAGCTACAAACATCATTGAAATATATTACATTTTGTAGCCCAATTTCACAACAGGTTGTCTCAAATGACTTCCCCCTTATCTTCCAGAAGAAAAACTAAAGCAGAAACCTGCAAAAGGGCTTCGCAAAGAAAAACAGACTATCCACAAAATACATCACGAAAAGTATAATTATCTCACAATTTGGAAATAAATTTTACAATTTACTTGAAAGTGACTTGCAGCTCCAATTCAAAATGTAATACAGAAAATGTATTTCATGAGTTCAGTAGATGATACATGAGAATAGCTTATATAGGCTATCACTAAAAACATATCATGGTGTCATCATATAAAACAGTCCATATAGAAACTATGCACATTTAGTTGTGAAAATGTCTTGTGAGAAAGTCTGTGGATGCGAGTTGCATCTCCAGGGAGTCTAGTGTGAGTAAGGGGCAAATATCTCCCACTGCTGCCCCCTGTGGATCAGTTCAGTGATGAGGTGAATAACAGTATTATTAGAAGTTCGACTGCAGGATCTGAGCTCCGGCAGAACTCCTGATGTAGCACGCATGAGTCATTAAACTGGATGTGAGATGTATTCAGCATGTCACCTCAATGTCAAACCCACTGAGCACTGCACCGCCTGTTCTCTGTCACCAAACTCTCTGCATAATTACACTCCATGTGAAAGTACTATGTCAGAGGAAGTACACGAGAACACCATTTTACATTTTGAGTCAAATTAGCTACTGCTCTGCAATACAAAAAGTAAAAATTTTACTTTTTGGGCAGTGAATGTGCAGGTGTTGGTTAAAGCATTACTCCAAATGTGTTATCCAAAACAAACAAACATTCTGAGTCTGTTCCAAGTAGGACTGACTGGGCAATATGGTGATAAAAATCTAGAATCTGCGATCTGATCCCTGTGACAATACAATATTCACAATTTCTCTATTTAATCCAACTCTCTGCTCAAACACACACACTTTCCCACCCAATTCTCCCATTAGTTAATCTCTGTAAAGCTTTATATGAGATTTCCAGTGAAAAAGTGCATTGGATTTATATAGTGTCTTTCAAAACACCCAGAGCACTTACTGTATTCCTGAGGCCTCTCCCCTTCCAGTGAGATGTTAATCTGAGCCTTATTTTAACACAAGCTAACTCAAGCTAACTAGCATTAGCTAATAGTTTGTTTTAGTTTTCCCAGTAGTCATGCGCACCTTTTTGTTGAAAATCAAACAGGGTTCTCAATGCTTGTATCAGTGCCCTAAAATGTGTTGTTTAAATGTTTACAGAGGGGATATTATGGAAAAAAATATTTTGTGCTTTCTACCATGAGCTTTCCGCATTCATCTCCCTCATCTAAAATATGCCAAAGGAGGTTTTAGATGTCATATTTAGATGTCCTCCATGAGTGTCCCGGGCCCTGTTCAAATCCTCACAGATAGCTGTGAGATTCTGTGCAATGCTCAGCCCACATGCCCACTTCACCAATGCTCCCACACGACAATTCTCCATGAATATACAAACGCATGACACAAAGCTGTACAC